ACCTTCTGACGGTGTCTGCCTCCGCGCACAAAAAATGAGATGGGCATCGCTGCCTACGCCGACGGCCAGAGGCCCGCGCATCTACATTTTTTCGCCTGACCCCATCAGTGCCGACCCAACTACACCACCACGCGCATGCCTCGCGGCGGATATGCGCAGCAGCAAGAAGGTTTCGGTCATCCCTTGAGGGTGAATCTAGCCCTGCTCGCCAGAAAGACCCCGCAACCAAAGACTAATATTGTTGTTGTTGTTGTTGTTGACTTCACATGAAACCGTATGCCAGTTGCTAAATGCCAAAATCTAGCAAAGACTCTCGGCCCGTGGTCACGAAAGTGCTGGAGCCATCTGAGGATCTAAAGAACACGCACACGTAGCAAGAAAAAGGTGTACAAGAGCCCGAAGAGGTACTACTACACCTATATACTATGACATATAATAACCTGGTTATTATATGTCATAGTCTTTGGCGGTAACCCAGCAACGGGTATCAGGTTTGTTGTTGTTGTTGTTTCTCACATTAGCTCTACAAAAAAAAAATGGGAGCCCGTGGTCTCAAAACCCGGCATACACGACCCCACGAAGAAACAGAAAAAAATAGGGTACAAAAACCACTCGGAAGAGAAACAAAATGATAGAAAGAAAGACCAGCTACCGCACCAAACGAGAAAGAGCGTCGAGGAGACCGATCAAAATAAAATAAAAGGAGAACGGGGAACGCTTCCCACACCCGCCTACAACGCCGGAGGGTTCCGTGCCGGGTTCCCGCCGACCAGGCATCCCCCGCCCTGCACCACACCCCAGGGGGTGCAGCAAGACGGGGGGCGANATAAAAGGAGAACGGGGAACGCTTCCCACACCCGCCTACCCGGGTGGATTATCACCATTTCAGGGTACACTTGGAAATCAACACGCGCCCNAGGGTACAAAAACCACTCGGAAGAGAAACAAAATGATAGAAAGAAAGACCAGCTACCGCGCCAAACGAGAAAGAGCGTCGAGGAGACATAAAAGGAGAACGGGGAACGCTTCCCACACCCGCCTACCCGGGTGGATTATCACCATTTCAGGGTACACTTGGAAATCAACACGACACCGATCTCCGACAGCATCCGCGGTAGTAGTAGTAGATGAACGGCGAACCAATAAACCGCTGTCTGTGTCCTGTGTCCTGTGTCCTGTGTCCTGTGTCCTGTGCCTCGGCAGCATGATGCACGAACCAGGTCATCATACCCGTTTTTCTCTCTCTCTGTGCCTCTCTCTCCCTCTGTCTGTTCTTTAGCCGCTGATCAGTACCACGCCTCGCACGTCAAGCGAGTCCGACCCTCTGTTGAGAGGGGCCAGTATCCTATGGAGGCGGTGCCCATGAACGATGAACGAGCGAGCGTTGTTGGTGGTTTGGTTGTGGTTATGTATGTGCGGTACACGGTATGTGCAGTAGTAGTACACGTTTTTTTCTGCGGGTTTCATGTTAGAGCGTCGGGCGTCGGAATTATATGACCATTTCTGGGAACAAAATCGACTCTTCCGGTAACACCAGTAACTAAAATCGCTCACACCAGAGGGTCTTAATTCCAGCGGAAGTTGTACCCGATGGAGGTTTCTTCAGGAATGGTTACAATGTTTTTTCGGCCAATCAGCTGACAGCCTGGGGGTGCAAGCGTGTTAATTTCTAACTGCTGTGTACCCTAGAGTGGTGATAAAGTATCCGGGTATACCCGTTTCTTCTGGTTATTGGTCAAAAATTAGTCCTGCCGAAAGTCTGGTGTTACCATGGGTGATGTATTGGAAGAGGGTTCCTTCCATTCCAGAGCTAAGATAGACAGTAGAATATGTTGCGGAGTCACGCTAGAAGCAAATAAATGGTCTACCTTCATGTAGCAGAGAGAGGAAGGATCGGTGGCCGATGGGTTCGATTCAAGTCGTGGGTGCGCAACAACATCGATCGATCTATCTATATAGGAACGTGAAGGTTTCAATAATCAAGCTGCTAAGCCAGTTTGTTTTTGGTTTGGGCAGGGCCGTCGATAGCCTCGGTTGCTTATACAGACCCGGCCCTACCACTAGGCTTGTGGGACCTTTAGACAAATAAGGCGAGGCAGATGGCCCTCTCTCGCGATCGCGCGCTCAACAACAACGTGGATCTTCTGGAGCAGCCACGCCATGGATGGATTCCCAACAGAGCAACAACGACGACGATAGCGCTACTGATTTCTGACAAACGTGTTTATTTTTCATGTTTTCGCTACATACAATTATAGCAAAGAAAATAATATTTCTTCCTCTTCGTCATTTAGGGAACTATTGATTGGTGCGCCCTGATTCTCAGTACGGCAACCAATGCAACACATGCGAGAAAAGGTTCACGAGTCAACCCTCTTCAAACTACGCTACGAAGTAGCACGGAAGAAGACTTCAAGAAAAAACGATGACAGTCGACAGACACCTCGACACAAGGAAGGACCAAAGATGTCTAAGGCCAAGCCAATTCAAAAGAGACGAGGAACACATTCGGCACGCAAGGACAACACGACATTTGGGAAGGGACGAACGAATCCCACCGAGCGACCAAGCGACCGAGAATCAATGTCACGTTGTACCGACCCTCGCTGCAAAATCCTTTTTATGCCAAGCGTACAGCTCCTGGCATGTAAACGGACGAACGAGGGAATAACGCCTTAAAAGATGAAAGATAAAATACCGGGTGAATCATCTCGTAATCAAACCCTTGGGACCACAGCTCTAACCCTATGGACTACTACCTGCCAAACTATACGAAACCTTTCACACACGGTACGTAAGAGGAGCCCACCAGATTTGAGAAAGAGACAAGAGAGCAGATAAACCGACAAGCAGCCGGAGGTCAACATGTAAGGAAAGCAGAGCAACGTAAACGCAACGGCAACAATATAGCAACAAAATAAAGCCAGACGAGAATTGGTTCGCGAGCTAGCCTAGAACGGATCGCGGGCTAGCCACCACCCAGCACAACATCGCTCTAAAGCTATCAAATGATAAGAAGCAGTCTCCAACACCAACCCTTCCCGCAACAGGAAGCACGACGTACTATCCAACGACATACTCCGCACACACGCCACGTTGGCAAAGACACGTGCAAGCAAATCATTCATACCCAACACCAGCAGTGTCGATGTCACAACACGTCAACTGGGGTTGGGAATACCCAGAGCTGCAGAAAACAGCGAGACAAAATCTACCGAAAACATAGAAGGGACAATCTTTGACAAAGAGGGGCCTCCACTCAGCAGCTGCATTCACACCATCGCGCCAAGCCGCACGAATTCTCCAGCTTGCCTAAACACAACATCTCTGTGCGAGCCAACCAAGCGACATCGCGTGTGCAAGCTAGCGTTAGGGAGCGAGAGCCGTCGCCAAATGGGACAACCTTCAATCTTCCCAATGGACATCATCGAGTTTGATTCCAGAAAAATAACAACCAAAAATAAAGACGCATCAGTAGCGCAACTAGTCTACCCACACCCTCACCATGTCGAACTACGTCGTTCTTGCCACACGCAACAGAAGTTACCCGCTCCATGCGTCGTGTAGTGTCGTGCCCCAATTTTTCACCCGCAGGTGACTACCGCGTTTACACATTTTTATACAAGGTACATGCAAAATACACGAGGCCCATGAACAGCACACCACCAACTAAGCATCAAGAAACGAACCTCCCCCCACATGTACGGCGAGAACCGGCGGCAACCCCAAACCGCCAACTTGTAAAATAAAGGCTGAGACATGGCTGCTATCCGTGTCCCAACAAACACACCCGATACATGAACGATATCGACAGAAATGCACCCTAACCTACCCACTATCGCCCAAAAGCAAAACTACCTCCCGTCCAACAACCTTCTCCGACCTCACGAACCCGCCCCCGCGTCAGGCGAGGGAGGTTTTGCCGGGAGTCGACGTTTCAAACACATTTATTGTCTTGGTGGTACTAGGAATAGTGCGACTCTTAACCCGCAAGCCGTGCAAGCCAAACGTGACAATAGCACCACCGAGGATAGTAGGAACGCCATTGCCTTGCTTCAGCGTCCACGGGGTAATACGTCAAATCCCAACAACGCAGTGTAATCTCCTATGCTTGATACGTAAGCCGACACTCGATTGGCTCCCTCCCGGCAGACTTTCGAAACAAAGCCGTCGACAGAAAACGACTTACCCTCGCACCTTACGACGAAAACCTTGGTACAGTGCCACACCCTACAAAGGAAACTAGCTACTACCCATCGCCACCTTTCCGAGCATCACCAGCCGGGAAACTCGAATTATTGCTGAGATCAGTGACAGGGTGCTTTGCACACTTTCATACACACACGTGACGCTGCTTCTAGTCCCCCCCAACAGGACCAGCGACACCAGTTTCAACCCGAAGACACCCACATAAATGGACACCGGCCAAGGATTGAACCCGTCGTAACTAGAGCCCCTAGCAACAGCTGACCACACAACCACCAACCACGGAAAGACAAACCCACTCTCTCATGTAATGACGACCTTCAGCCAAACAGACGACCAAAAAATCGATGGAAAGGTGCAGCCTAGGACTGCTGCGCGTCATGACAGCCGTTTCATACCAAAACAAACCTAGCTACCATGGTACCATTGTGCGTGGAACAGGCAGATGCAGCTGCATCAGGCCAGGAAAAAAAATACAGGATAGACAAGAACCTGACAACAAGTAACACAATCCTCCGGCAGCGAGGTACGTTTACGAATCCCCTCTCCCAATAAAAAACAAACGCCAGCAGGGCACCCGCCCGGCCCGAACGAAACTTCAGGCAACACCGAAGTCAAAGCATCCCCTTCTTCATTCACGCAATCACCGGCCGTTTCTTTCCGCGAACACCGTGCCTGCAGACGTAGGCACCACATCTCGAGGACGGCACTCTCTACCACGGCAATTTAATCCCGGCCGATCGGCGTACTTAACGGTGGGTTGTTATCCTCCCAGCCTTTGGATGAACATCGAAATCCCGGGGATGACCCCTGAGTGTCCCACGACCTCTGCAATTACCTCATCTCCCTTCCTCGCATGCCACAGGCGCCTTGATTGTCGGTGCCAGCGGGTACGCCCACTGCTACACAAACCTGCGAATCGTTGACCATGCGGATAGGAGGGCGAAGACCAATTCAGGATGCGTTTCAGTGTTGCGAGAGCGGGCACTCTTACACTCTTTGTAGGCTGCAAGGCGCACAGATGGACAGCAACTCCCTTTCTACAAACAACCTATACACAAGCACTAAACAGCGCTCCTGGAGCCACAACGAGCAACACAGTCACCACCCGATACTGAACTCTATGCATACAGTACCGATATCAAACGTCAGCCCAGCTTCAACTTTAGCAATGCTGTCTCGATCGCAAGTACACACGGTGCGAACCTTACCTCTGCCACGACCGCCGCAAAATGATCACCAGGCGGAGAACAGGTCCGCGTTAAGAGGGGTGGGCCTCCGAGCGGAGGACCAGATCCCGGGAGAGGGGAGCCAGATGCCCGACTCTCCGTCCTTCATCCTCCTTCGCCGGTCCCCGTACTGACGGTTCGCCTCTACCTGAAGCGCCGCCACCGCCGCCCTCCTCCTTGCCCCATCCACCGCCGCCCCCATGGCGAATAAGCTGTGCCGCTGCTGCTGCTGCTGCTGCTGCTGCTGCGGCTTGTTGGTGGGGTTGTTGGAGCTCCTCCCTCCCCAGACCCAGGAGTCGGAGGACGACATGGGGTTGTGCGTGGTCGCGCCCGGCTTGTTCTTCTTCGCAGCGGTGGCCTTCGCGGCGGGAGCCGCGCCGGTGCGGGCAACAGCCGCCGGGGGGAGCGGGGACCGGGAGTACGGGTTCAAGAACAAGGTTTTCTTGTTGTCGTCGCCGTCCTCCTCGAAGATCGACGATGACGACGATGCCAAGCGGTTCTTAACCGTCATGTACGGTGGCGACAGCGAGGACGACGAGGCGAAGCACGTGTGTTCCGTGCCGGCGGCGCTGGGGCTTGACGCAAAGCAGTCACGACGACGCAGGCGGGACGAGTGGCGTGCCGCCAGCAACGCGGCCATGTTGTACCGCTGCTTCTGTGGGGCGGGGGGGCGGGGGGCGGTGTGAAGGGGCGCGGGCGGCGGCGACTTCTCTGCCGGGTGCGGAACCGGCGTGGGCAGCTCGGATGGAGGGTCGCAAGCAGGGTGGGCTTCTTCTTCTACTTCTTCCTGCCGTTCTTCTTCCTCCTGCTGCTCGTTCACTTCGGAGAGCTTGGACAGCTGCAGAGGTGTTTCTCCCACGACTTTGGAAACCCCCCGTCTCCGAGGAGGCGTCATCACCGCCGTGGATTCTACGGCACGAGAAGAAGAAGGCTTCGGCTTCGCCCCGGCCGCCGCCGCTGCCGCTTCTTTCCCGCGGTGAGCGCCGTTGTCGTTCATCGACAACGCTCGGGCGAGGAGCGATTTCTCCGACATGCTGCTGGTGGCCTTGGAGCGAGCGATCCAGCGGGAGGTAGACTTCCGGCACCGCTTGTTGGACCCTGTGGCTCGAAGGCGTTTTCGCCAGCGGAGGGGCATGAGGAGCTGGACCGACGGCAGGCTGGAGGTGATGTTCTTGCCCAATCCAGAGCTGCGGCACAGCGGAGCGGGGGTGGTGGTGGTGGTCAGGGAAGGGCAAGGTCAAACAACGCGGTACACGACAAGAAACGTAACTTGGGCCGCTTGGGCGAATGGCGGGGTCGGGGTTGTTGAGTCGTCCGTCAGATGCTGACCACCGAGATATTCCTCTCTTTTAATTTACATGATTCAAGAATCCATCTCTATCAACGTACAGAAAAAACAACAATGGATTCTAAGCGTCAGCGGAGCACCATCATTGTTTCCACGGTTTCCCGAGCAGCGCACATCGGTTCGAACCCTGTGCGTAGGCTCTATGTACAAGACAGTTTGGTGAAGCCGATGTCTAGGCAATCATCGGGTAGAAGTTTGGAAGTTTCGTGTCGATATTCATGAATAGCGTCCGCGACGCTGTTCCGTCAACGCGTCTACTCCGTTTGTATTTTTCCCCTGCTACAAGTCCACCACCACTTCCAGTCCCATTACTTTTGTGGAAAGCGTGGGACTGCACTACTGCTGTCCGTGAGGTTTCGCTACTTGTAGTAGCCGAGGTCACACTGGTGATTAATTGCTCCCGGTACGTAGAATTTTGCCGTTCGAAAAATCTTGAATTTTTTTTGGCATAGAGGTTGCCGTTTCATTCTTACCAGTCTTAGGCATACGCAGATACGTAGGCGCGAAACTGCGCCAGAGCGCCGGTGAAGCCTGCAGCAAATCATTCCTGGCCCTCGACCAACAAACACGGTTTCAACGGCACTCCAAACAGCATCACTGTAGGGGTTCTACGCCACACGACCTTTTGGGTCGAATGGATACGGGGAGGTTTCAATTAAGGAAATATAATTACACACACAGACAGAGGTTGTTGGAAAGTTGGAGCATATGTTCCACAAGGCGGTCGGAAAATGCCAGGGAAACATGGTTGTCGTATGCATACCGTATATGACACAAGATAACACACCCCTCGGACCGATTTTCAAAGCTCAATTACTCCACGACGAAGAGGATGCATAAACGAAACGATACATTTTCGAAAAGCTCTCGACGACATGGTTTCAACGCCGCCATTTTCGGCGCTGTGACTGTTCCTGCAGTTGAGTAATCAAGCTTTGAAGATTGGTCGGGGGGTGTGTTATCTTGTGTCATATACGGTAGCCAAGAGAGGGAGATTGAGATTCATTCGCCTGCTTTGGGATGGACCATGGACAATCGGTGGAAGCTCGTCAGGGGTGGTGGGAGGAGTACCTTTCTTTTCCATTGGCACTCTCCATTCAAAGAGCAGAGGGCACAATGGTGCAAAACACCCGTGTCAATGTCAAAACGCTCATGAGAGTAATGTGCGTATGTATGAAATGAGAACGAAGATGACCAACCACTACTTGGTAGGCGAACGAACGGACGCAACATACATGCGTTAACGCATGTCGGGGGAAAGGAGGAAATGGTTGAGAAAAAACAAAAAATCAAATATGCTGGCACACGTAAGCTAAATTACGTTGCTGTCCCCGAACACGACGTGGAACCACCACCACCCAATCAACGTTCAACCGACTGGCGACCCCCCCCCCCCCCCCCCCCCCCCCCCCCCCCCCCCCCCCCCCCCCCCCCCCCCCCCCCCCCCCCCCCCCCCCCCCCC